TCTAAAATACGAAAGTTTCTGGAATATACCCTGAAAGTTCACAAAGTGTTAAGAATAATTGTGCCAAATTTAAAACTAAATCAGTTTTTGTTCTTGCGTGTAATTTATGCTACAGAATTTGAATTAGTTTGTGGGGCAGTCTAATTGAATATGACCACACTTTCGTACGGTTTTTCAATAGCTTTTAGATTTTCAATATAGCCTCTTCGTCAAAATATCCTTTGACCTAATCCTGCTTTAACCAATCACATTTCTGCCCCCTCAAGCGCTAGCATTTTGTGACAGAGTGAGGAATTTGATTGGTTAAAGTAGTTGTCATCAGATTAGGTCATTTTGGTGAATGTTTAAAAGGTCTTTAGATCCTAACCAACTAGCTATATTAATAAAAATAGCTAATAAAAGACGGAACGCAACGGAAGAAATAGACTTGAATGATGAGACGTATTTACTCTGATGCTGATTGCTTTGGTAGTTTAAGATAAAGGCATTGTTTTATACTGTTTAATAAAGAATTTCAAATTTCTTAAAATTTCATACCCTAACATCTTAAATCATTTTTCTGGAAAAAAAGCACAATGCACATAAAGCTATTTAAATGTTTTGCATCATATTCAGTTTCGAAGTGGATATAGATGTTTGATTCTGTTTTACTTTTTTTTCACCTATTTGAGATTTAATCTGAAGCATTAACAACTTCGTTCAAAACAAATTTCAGTTATTTCTATGTCAATTGTAAATGATTTTGTAATATGAATTGATTGTTCTGTTCTAAATTTAAATTAATTAGCACTTCAATAAATGGAACAACTAGCAGAATAATTTTACAATGACGGTAAATAGAGCACAGCAAACACCAAACGTAATTCGATCAAAATAAACAAATACGTAAATTACATGAAACAGCAGACGTGTGTCTTTGATACAGAAGGGAAATGAGGCTAATTTGACTATAACGTGCTAATCAAAACCTCACAAATTACCGAAAGGTGTCGCTGTAGCTTACTTTCACGTGTGCATTGTTTATACACGTGCAGAATAGGCGTGGCCGGAACTCGATACAATTTAAGATGTCTATCACCAGTAATGTAAATCAAAGAAAGAATTGATGAAAGTGTTGAAATATACAATAGAATGACCGCCACCATTGTTGGTGAGCCTGCAGATTAACTCCTTTGATGATCTCATGACTTCTCGTCTCGGATAACGAGAACAATCAGCAAGGTGAAATGATGTCTGTCAGTTGAACGTCTTGAACGCACAGAAAAGGTATTAGAGGCATTCACACTCCTGAACTTTAGATATGTGATAGATCCTGAGGACTGCGCCACAGTCGTTCACAGGGTACACCTACAAATTTGATCCCAATTTACATGGAATAATAAAACGGCAAAATGGCATATACGGATGCAAAAGGTCGAAGGGGAATAACTCTTCCAAATAAATTCTCTGGCTGTGGTTTTATGAATTCTATTCTTCCAATTTTGAAATAAAGCTGCACTTAATATGTTGCAAATAGTGCCCATTAATCAAACCATTTAAAAATATACCGGTAGCTGATGTACACTGAATACAATGACGTCATGAAGAGAATGTTGGCTGTCGAGGTTGTCTCGTGGGTTCAGAACGATAAGCTTCACTTATCAAACGTGATATTCGAGACTACAAACAGCTGGTTTATTAGTCTCACACCTGTCATAAACTTTTTGATCTTTAATTCCTCAAAACTTAAATTAAGTTTTCAGCTGTACCGACAAATGCTAGGACCAACCGCAAACGCAAAAAAGAAAAATTCTGCAGAAAAAACTCGTACATAAAAAACAAGTTTGCAGATATTTCGTTTCAGAATACAGTACACAAGTGTAATTTTGTCTTCTCGTCTTATCTCATCTTTCAACGCCGGTAGCACTTGGATGTGGTAGAATACACCAAGTGTTTTTAATTTGTGTTGAAAGTTAGTAAAATAAGCTGTTAAATAAACACATGCTTAGGAGTTTTAAAAATAAATTATGCAAAAACTAGGCAAATGTTGAACTGACAGTGCCATTGAGTGCAGATTTATACACAAGATGGTTGTCTTAACCAAATCTTTAACTCTGTAACATGACAATTAGATATATATATATATATATAATTTAAGTAAATATTGATATTATATTGATTGACTTCCCTACCGCAAAGTTCCTATCCCGGGTTATTTTCTTCTATTTTGTGGGAACAAACGTCTTATGTCATCGTGCGAATGTGGCGCTTTGATCATCTCTACTCCTATGTATTTTGACATCGTTCTGAACTTTCTGAACGGATCTGAAGTAGTTAATATCCTCCAAATTGGATGAGGTGAATATGGCAGGGGTTCCGTTGTCCCAAATAAAAAAACTTGGAGATGAGACCCAGTTTCACATCGATCTGTAATTGTCCAATAGACTGAAGAATAAACAATATGAATCTCGAGAGTACCACAATATTTAAGTTTTAAGATTTCTATATTCTTATGCACAAGGTGATCGAGTACGTTTTTTTACATTATCAATGACTGTTAGAGATAATGCATGATACCAGAGTCAAAAGAAAGTTGCGAATCCGCAAGTTGTGTCATTTGAAAAGAATTTACATATCGATAGTGTCACAAGATATGTTTAAAGGAGACGATCCACGATAACTTAAAGGATTGTAAATAGTTTTAAATTTTTATGCGTATCTGGGACACTGGCAGCATCAATTTGCACCATTCCAATTTTCAATCAGACGTCTGTTGTTCCTGCAATTCCACTAAAATTAAGTGTTTTACTTTTATGACGTTACCCCACAAAACACTTTAGTAGAATTGCTAGAACCACGGGTTCTATTGATTGAAAATCAAAATGGCGCAAATTAATCATTGTCCCCGATACACATAGAAAATTTAGAAAACTTCTTTGCAATCCCGTTAAGACCACCTTTATATATCTTTAATCTCAAGTACGTGTATTCGATGTTATGTCTTGATTAGTTCTATGGGAGATAACTCCAAAATCTCACCTCCTTTGGATACCGATACCCTTGAAACACAAGGATGGGTGTGGGTTTCGTTTTCAATCAGATATTCCGGCCTATCCTAAATTATTGATATGTCGTGTCTCAAAACTGTGGTTCTCTAAGTGGTTATCCAGATGTAATTGACAACCATGACTTCATCAATTATAATCAATTAAAACTTTGAATAATTAGATAAACAATAAGACAGGTAATGTATTGAATATAAATAGAATGGACAAGTTTGATAAGATTATTGTTGACTTTTGAAAGATAATCTACATGCACCTACCTAACCCAGTAAAATATTATAGTATATAAATACACGATATAATCAATTCTAATCAGTATCTCTTAAATACAGTGGTTCAGTAGAGACCATTAACTATTAAACATAGGAATCTATCACAATAACCAGGAATATATTACTATCATGGATATTCAGTATTTAGCTGTTCTGTGCCTAATTGTAAGTATAAAAGTTCATTGTAGGCTACAATGTAGATGGAATCAACCACGAGAGTTGAAAATGAATCGAAAATGTGCTATTAATGAGTTCAGAAGAACACTAATGACATTTGAAATGTTTCCAGGGAAATATTCATAACATTCATTTCCATATATTGTTCACTATACAACATTTTTGCAGATATAGATATTAAAAGTTACACCGAGTTTTCGAATACAACTACATGTATTTAAACTACATAAACGTAATCTGTAGTTATGATTGAGTGTGGTATCTAATATTCCAATTACACCTGTTGACAGATACTTTATCATTATAGTCAATTGCCATTAACACATATTAAAATCGCTTGATGGGTATCGATGGTCGATGAATCAGATCACGATAATTTAGAAAACATGTCATATTCGGGACATTCAATGGCGTAGTGTATAGGGGGGAAGACGAATTTCAATCCACTTTAAAGGCATGGTGTTTAGCCTCTCTATCCAGTTTCTAACTTTAGGTTATATATTGGCTGAAGCACCATATCTTTTTTCTAACCACCGTACACTCCTGAAATTAAAGATAAGCAACCACCGACCTTGTTTGATTTCAGGTTACAGTCAGTTCGCTTTCATTTATAGATCTTGAATCTTGTGAGGTATGTATAACAGAGTTTTCTCCCGTTGAGTAGTTTTGTGGAATTCTAAGAAGTAATACTAAATCTAACGCCCCTTCGAGGGCAGTGTATAGCATTGGGACAAATTTAGCGAAGCGTAGAGGTCTTCATTCATTTCTTTAGGTTTTTTCAAGGAACGCCCGGAATATAGCCTAGACAGCTGTCCTTCCCAACAAAACAGATTGGATTGTGTTTCAGTCACATGCTTCAAACGAATTCACTGACAACGTTTCTCACGTAATATAGGAAACGCGCGTTTTAAGTTGATGGTCCATGGTTAAATAATTTCTTACCCTTTCTCTGAAAATTATTTTCTAGTATCATTTTCTTCTGTAGTGTCCAGAGAGTGAAGAATGTTATGAAACAACATTAAAAATACCAAAAATAATATGCAGTAAGTTGAGTATCTAATGATTAAGATAGTTTAAAACATGATGAACTCGCCAGAATTTCGGGAAAAAGCGAGATGCCTTTATGTTTTATGTTTAAACAATGTAAGCTATGTGGACTCACCGAAATGAACGCCAAGTTGACAAACCCAATAGCAATATTGTTGCGTAGCTCAAATGCAGTTGCGGTGTTCTCCACATATTGTGGTTTTCATTTAATAAATTGTCACAAATTTTATGATTATTCCTTACGGTGGTTTCTATTCTGTATATTTGACATTTGCAATTCCAGAAAGAGTAAACCACAAATGATGCAGCTCCCGCAAGAGAACTCTTTCTGGAGTTGCAGGAACCACAGACATCGGACGGAGAATTGGAATGTCCCCAATAGAAGTCAAATGTGTCCCCGATACACATAAAAGGCCAGAAAATCTCTTTACAATGCCTTAAATTGATCTTTCTTATAGTCCCAGCTCTGTGTTTAGAAGATATGGTAAAAGGACCATGTCGTGCACGTCACATCCGGTGGTTTTACAATGTTACAGCAGAAATGTGTGAGAGTTTCTTCTATGGTGGTTGTCGTGGAAACGAAAATCGGTTTCGTACAAAAGAAGATTGTGAGGATATATGTATGACGAACTTTATTATGAAATGATTTTTGAATATAATTCTTTCATTCATCCATCTTGTTTATGTGGATACATTCTCATGATAAAAAATTGAATAAATATTTCAAAAGAATAAGAAAAAATCAAACGATGAAAATTTGCCAGAAGTCGAAAAAGCCTTTTAAAACTTTACCGGAAATATGAAAGTTAACATGTTAGAAATTTTATGATAAACTAAGACTGAGGCTGCAAGAGTCATACATGATAACTACATTATGTATAATGTATAATGGCTTCTTGCACTTAATATATTATTTAACTTAAATAAATGGAGCTTTTTACGCCCTTCTGGATGATTTAATTGTGATTAATTTGTTCGGTATGTTTTTAAAAAATGGTTTTGAGTAAACAATTTATTCCACACAGAAAGAAAAAGATAGGATAAATCGTATATTTACATAATTACACAACAAATACTGATTTACATTCGCCTACAATCATTGAAATAAGACCTTCAGATAAGTCCTACTCTCCGACCACGGTGAGAATTGAATTTTCACTCTCATTTTACAAATATTTTAAATCAGATTATCATTTTCATGCCATTGGTCGGTTTAATTTAAATCCCGTCCCGTCTTTAGTCCTGAAGAGCTACGAGAAGTTGAAATGAATCTGTGTTCAAACCCCAGCAGATAGCAGATAGTTCCTCATTGTCGAAAACAATTTTCTCGTGAAAACAAGTCGCCATGCCTACCCACCTGTAAGGTGCTCGCTGGCTTGCCAAAAACCCATTAGCGTAAGTGGCGCCAAGGGAGGTAATTAGGTTTCAATGACATATTGTTCTGCTTCGGCTCGTAATCCTTCAAAATGGAAGATATACCTATCCCTAACTCAGTATTTATCACAATTTGAGATGTGTGGTAACAATGACAGCTAACAGTTATAAAAGATAGCATAGAAAGGAAATCATGATCACCAGTAATAGAATGATTCCGCATTTTAACACATAATAAGATAATGCTTTGAGGTAAATGTCGTATAACTTCATTCTAAAGTTATTCTTCAGAACATGTTCTCATACATTCTGCTTTCGTTTCAAAGTTATTAGAATTTCCTCTACAGCCTCCATAGATATACTCTACACAAGTTTGCTTTCCTTGATCAAAGTACCATCGTGGTTTTGCTGCTCGACAAGGTCCAGATTCCATTGCAAGATGGCACAATTTTTTGTCTGAAAAACAAAATAAAAGGTCACAAATAGCTCACTTAGTATTAATAAACGAATGATCTTATTAAAAGGAAATTCTGCTTTTTTTGTAGGTCGAAGAATTTTTTTGCTCAAATTTGTGAAAAGTATCACCGAAACTTTTTTATTAACCCTATTAAAACAAATTCAATTTGATCTAGTAGATACATAAATAGCATACTTTAGAAATATTTTCAGGTATATTTTTTTTTTTTTTTAATGAAAATGTTTTACAAAAAAAGCGGAATGTCCCTTTAAAGGGCACACGAGCTGTCTTGAGATTTTTGTCGCCGATTAGTGCCTTGAGTAAAATCTGTGACCATGCTTCTACCACAAGATTATTGCGTTGCCGGCAGGATTTATAATATCAAACAAGATAATTGTCTTCGATAGTTTTATCGTCTGCTGACAGACCGTCATTATCAAATCAGATTCATTTTCCTTTAAAATGCCTGATCCGCACATGATTATCGACATGGTGTAAAACGACCGAGATTTTTATCTCCTCTTGTGCCCGTGCCAGTCGATGAACAAGACCGTTCGTGTACCCGCATCTTTGGGAATGTCGAATTTTGTAAGATTGTGTAAGAGCAAATTACCTATACCATCATTATAAAAGACTAACTAGCTCTTAGTCTAATTCCAAATATTGACTCCTATAAGTTATAAGCCTGTCAAATTAGGCTATCCTTCAATGCATCATTGCAACTGAAGTCTCGAAACTGGAAATACGTCACAAAGTCTTACATTGACCCCCTTTTAACAAAAGAGTACAAAAATAAAGCGTTCTTACTTGGCACACAAACTTGCTGACATTGTTCTAAGGTGCTGAATCTATTATTGTTACCATCACAACCAGTGTAAATAAATGGCAAACATTTACCAGTAAAACTATTATAATAGTAACTGTTATATTTATATGCACAGTTACCAGTTACCAATGGTTGTTCACAGGAATCTATAGCTTGAATTTCTGAAAATTGTAAGTTATAAGCTTGAAGTAAACGCTAATACTATTTCGCTTGGCAGAAATCAGAAAAATGGTAAGTTCTTTTGTGTATGTACAGTATACATGAGCTCGAAAAATACGCCTTTGACGCAAGATACACACAATGTCACAGTACTATGCCATCTAAATACAAACAACTTCAAATATTGAGGAGATCTGAGTTAGAGAACGAAAAGTATAATATTTGTACGTGTCCGACATAATCATGTTCATTTTAAATCCTTCTGAGTAAATACTTACTGGTGCACACACCGTAATCTGGACATGGTGGTTCAGAACATTGACTAGGATGAACAGAACATAGTGTACGATGAGGACATACCACAGTCTAGAAAAAAATAAAAAATGTAGAAAATTATCAATGATACACAATATAAAGTTGTGTCTTTCCATAAAAACCGAGAGGAGCAAGTGTATCGAAAGACATCAAAGATTTTTCCATAAATATAACATAACATTCCAATCTATTTGCAGACATAGAAAGTAAAGTAACTTACAGCACAGGCATCCTTTGATTCAGTTTCTGGATTTGAATCAGATAGACGAATATCATTATTGATACCAGCTTCAAATTTATTGGACACCTTTTTTGGCGTTGTTTGTTTTCTGTCTGCGGGTCTCAATGTTGGGATTGGAAGGTCTCCTTTAATGGTGGTTGGCCTTTGTTCGTTAGAGGACGGAGTTTCAGCATGGAAATCCAATGGAGCAGGGTCGAAACCCATCAGCCGACCTGTACTTGGATCAAAACCGAAACCTCTCTGTGGTTGAAAATTAAATCTCTGTGTCATAACAGGGAATCTGCTTGGATAAACTGGTTGACCTTCTCTTTGGAACTGTGGCACTCTGTCTAAATATTCCTGTAAATGGAGATTAATAAATAATTTGTCTTTCATGAATGGATTTTTAGGAAATAAATATCAAGTGCATGGATCTTATTTAAGTTAGATAGAGGTGTTTAAGAAAATCAAGGGAAATATATAAACTTAATATATATAAGAATTTATTTCTCTCGGGTGTTGGTAGCAATGACATCTAAATATCATTTAATAAACAAATGGACGTTTGTAAGATATATTCCTTAATACCATAACAATTGATTAACGAATGCTATGAAGGTCAAGACTAGAAAATAAGTTTTCGCCTTTTTGTGGGTACACGCAGCATAATGTTAATCTAATTTGAATATCTAGGTAATAAACATGTTTATTATTTTCAATATTGTAATTACATACTAAATCCTCTTAAACTCTTGGCTTTTCAAATTTATCCTTAATCAGTTTGGCGTGAGCATACGGACAAGCACATACTTTGGACTCAGTAAAAGGTCGTGAACAGAAGATGGTGTTTGGTCAATACTTCAACATATCACGTTTGTGTTAAATCCTCTAAAATCTGTATAATCGTACAAATACTAAACCGTTACAATCTTAACATAGTTTAAACAAGCTTAACATGGCGATTACATTTGGACGACTATAAATCAAATCTTGCCACCCCCCTTAGAAATATGTACCGGTCACTTTTTTAAAATACACCTTTTCTTTTTCCTGAGTCAATAGGAGCGGCAGGTAACTGAGTCTGAGTGGATAGCAAACAGTGGTCATTCTGGTCAGGCATTTCATGGTGGAGTAATTGCACCAGTCAGTTGCTATATTTTGATTATACGTAACGAAAAATAAGGTTATGGCTTTCAGGGCTGCGTTATGCGAAATAGTTCAACAAAATACTAAGTATTCCTATCTGTAGGCCTAGAACTGTTTTTAGATATCTTTCTGTTTATTCTTAGCTGAGGATGAAACCAGACATCATAGCTTTTTAAATTTAATTACATTAGAATAGATAATTTGATACAATTGAATTCGTTAAAAAATCATAAAAAGTCGGCAGTAAAGCGTCATTGGTAACAAAATTATTGGTCTGATACTGGATTGTAATCTGTCCCGTCTCAAAATTCACAAGATTTGATTGGTTGATTATAAATACTAACTAATAGACATAAATTATCCTAAATTGTATTCATATGAATCAAACAACCAAACGTAGGAAAAATGGATAAATATTTGATCAAAAAAGACAAATTGCTTGATGGTTCCGACACTACTACGACTGACACTGGTATCAAAACCACAGCGGGCAACACAACGGATGCTCTGAAAAGACAGGAGTACCAGGTGACATTGGAAAAGAAGACGTTCCAAAGCAACCGAGAATAAAATTTCCAGCGAAGTCTGGGCGCCATTTTAGTAACAGCTGGTTTGATCGATATCCATGGCTAGGGTATTCTGTGTCAAGGGACGCCCCTTTTTGATTTCCATGTCGGGTGTTTCACAATACATCTGCGGGTGCATAAAAATTCATCACTGAAGGCTACACAGATTGGAAGCATACTCTAGGTGATACTGGAAAGGGCCTCGAGAAGCATAACAATTGAGGTGTCAAAACAATTTCTCCAAGATAACGTTGTCAAGACAGAAAAGCAGGACTCCAATCTTGTTCTTCAAAAACTAAACGAGCAGAAATTGGTTTCCCTAAATTATATGCACTGGCTGCAAGCGTTGCAGTTCTAGTACCGCTGTGTGTGAAAGCAGCTTTTCAACTCTTACTCGCGTTGAGTCACCACAACGACGATCTATGACTCAGCTTCGCCAGCGCAATCTTGTTCTTCTTGCCTTCAACAGGAAGCGTACCCAGAAAATTAACTTGGACGTATTTGTTCAACGTTTTGCCATAAAACATACCCGACTACGTTTAAACTAAAACGGCAATAAAAATGTAACGTATTATAACTTGTGTGTTTTAACAAAAATAATCTCGAATCTAAAATACTCCATGAGTCCGTTTCCCGACGTTTAATCGTCTGTCAAGGTGCTTTGCTAAATTGCCCCCCTCGATTGCACGTTTGCCCAGGACTACTGGTCAGGCTACGGGCCTAATATGGAATGAACTGGAACGTAACATTTTGCTAGAAATAAACGTGGATTTGAATGGTTTTTTCCACAAATGGAATTGTTATCCTATTGATTTTAATTAATTTTGGAATTTAGGAAATAAAACAACCTGACTCCCACGTTGGAGACAAAATAATTCTGCGTAGGTTTTAAACAATTTGTAGGTGAATTATTCTGACGTCATTCTGATGCAGCTTACGCTTCTTTAAGCGCTGATCAATGGCCATATTTTCCAGATAAGTTATTTACCGGATTTCCATGACACTTAAATAATGCATGGTAAGAAATCTAAAATGACTTACCCTCTGATACCAGGGAAATCTTGCTTCTGTAATTACAACCATTATAACCACTGCAATTAATGATAACGCTTGTTTTAAACTTGCCATTTTTGTGTATTAGTAACTTCTCGCTAATAAGTATTCCTTTGTGTATATAACTCGATTTCGATGTCGAACTGTTGTGATTTTCCCAACCTCCGGCTTTTTATACACATATTGGTCGTGACGTCACTAAAGAATAGGGACAGTTTTGACGCCACAAAAAAGATTCATTTTCATTAACAAGTTTCTATTTTTGTCATGAGTTGTCTCCTTGAGAATACACACTTGAGTTATAAAAAATAACTCTTTGGTTCAATCTTATTTATTATCATGTGGTTTTATTAAGTTGTGACAATATTGATATTGGTGGAGTGAAGGAAAGTCTATTGAATTATGTTTGCAAAGGAGATGGAGATATTCCTTTTGAAATTCAAGGTTCATTTTCTCAAAATTGCAAGTAGTTTGTGTATCTTACAACCTTACAATCGTGTCTACTTCACAGTAATCAAATACATTATAAGGCAACTTGTTTTACATCGCCATTATTAACTATCATGTATATTTAAAACTGGTGACATTCCTTGAAAAAGGAAAATGCTTAGGAATTTGTCGGTACATATATATGATGCTTTTTATGGGTAATGTATATAGGGATTAAACGGTAACTACATGTAAATAAGTTATACTGTTCCATGCATTACAATTCCCAAAATCTCTCCTTTTATATCCAGCATGAAAAATGCAGTTTACGATTTGCTTGGATAATAATCTTTTCAAATTATTTTTTAATCCACACTCATTTTGGCCAAAATTGACAATGTTTTACATTTTCTACAAAATATTCATATAATGAAGAACTTGTAAAACAAGAGCATGTACGTGTATTAAACAACATAAAAATAGTAACATAAAGAGAAAAACTGTAGCACAATTCAAACAAACAATAATTGAAAGCAAATTAAAAGTAGATTTTTCAAGTGGACGCTAATCACGATTTTTTACTTAGAAAATGTCAAATGAACCTACGTATATTTGTACCGAGATTAGGTAACAATGTTCTGAGTTTTTAAATAAAAGACAGAAACCACAAACTCATAAATATTCAACAAGAATTAAACTGCTGTAGGTCAACTGAGAGACAATAATAGGAAGAAAGTCGTGGGTGTAATTTCAATCAAGGAGGGATATTGAGTTCGTGTTCACCCGTAGCTGATACCAAATCTTTACATTCTCACAGAAATACTACACAAATTACCTTCACGTTTTCCACTAATATTCTCAAGTATTGATTCTAAATGTCATATTGATGTTTCAAATTAATTTCACAAGGAAAAGTATCATTACATCAGGGCGTAATGCAAGGTGACTTGTTGAGGCCCCTCTATTTCTTTACATTAATAATAACCTTTACACATGAATGAGGTTACAGATATCATGAGGTGCTCTCTGAAGAAGGCCACCGGTCAACTCATATGAATTTTTACTCAAGGTAAAGTAAATAGTTTGGATTATACCTAGAATAGTGGAGAATGTCTACCTTAAGTCCTGCACCAGTCCGGTTTTGCTTTACCCATAAAAAACGGTAAGACACAGAGTAGCATATTGTGATGATTCATTAGCCCAATATTTTGCTGACAATAAGACTGGACTCTAATGGACCTTCATGTCCAATTTACGTATGATAACATGCATCTCAATCTCATTCAGTGTACTG